AAGTGCGGCAATGGTCACAATGGGGTTTGTAGAGTAGGGTCTTGCTACAAGTGTGGCAAGGAGGGGCATATGGCTAAGGATTGCCCCAAGGGGTTCGTAGTTGGTTTTCACTGCAACCAGTCCGAACACCGGAAGGTAGAGTGTCCGAAGCTGCAGGGGTTAGCGCAGGGAGCATCTCAGGGATCTACCCCTGCTACTGTCAGAGCTACAGAGAGTCAGCCGGTGAAGGCCGATGCACCGAAGGCACGAGGGAGAGCCTTCCAGTTGACCGCAGAAGAGGTTCGTGCAGCACCCGACGTTGTGGCTGATATGTATACTTTCATGTATTTATTTTTAATGTTGAGATATTGTGCTTATATGCGTAGGTACCTTTCTTATGAATTCTGTACCTGCCTTGGTGTTATTTGACTCGGGTGCGAGTCGGTCTTTTGTATCTTTAGCTTTTAGTCAGCACATCAGTATTAGTCGAGAGGCGTTGAGTCGACCTCTGAGAGTTTCCATAGTTTACAAGAGAGTAGTGTATGTCACTGAGGTGATTCGAGGTTGTGTACTCGAGATCTTCGACGTTGCGTTTCCTATTGATTTGGTCCCAATTGCGATGGGGGACGTCTGTGTTATCGTGGGCATGGATTGGTTGAGTAGGTTCGGAGCAGTTATTGACTGCGAGCGACAACTGGTGACCATACGAGACCCTATTGGGGGAGTTCTTACGGTGTAAGGTGAGGGTACCCGTACTGGTTCAGCGTTTTGTGCGGCTGCTAGAGCGAGACAGAGTCTACAGCAGGGCTGTAGTGGGTTTGTGGCTTACGTGATGGATATGAGAGTTGATTCAGAGAGACCGAGGTCAGTCGATGAGGTACTGATAGTGCGTGAGTTCCCGGATGTTTTCCCTGAGGAGTTGTCGGGTGTGCCTCCCGAGAGGCAGGTAGAGTTCCGTATTGATTTGATTCCGGGGGCATCACCTATCGCCAAGGCGCCCTATCGCCTTGCGCCTCCAGAGATGCAGGAGTTATCCTCACAGCTTCAGGAGCTGTTGGGGAAGGGGTTTATTTGGCCGAGCAGCTCGCCTTGGGGAGCTCCGATCTTTTTTGTCAAGAAAAAGGATGGTTCACACCGGATGTGCATTGACTACCGAGAGTTGAACAAGTTGACGGTCATGAACCATTACCCCTTGCCGAGTATCGATGATTTATTCGATCAGTTACAGGGAGCATCTTGGTTCTCCAAGATCGATCTGAGGTCTGGATATCATCAAGTGAGAGTGCGATATGATGATATTCAGAAGATGGCATTCATGACTCGTTATGGGCATTACGAGTTCGTGGTGATGCCTTTCAGGCTCACCAATGCACCAACAGCGTTCATGGATCTCATGTACAGAGTTTGTAGGCTGATGTTGGATCATTCGGTGATCGTGTTCACTGATGATATATTGGTGTACTCGAAATCCCGAGGGCAACATGAGGAGAATTTGAGGGAGATTCTCGGAGTTCTGAGATTGGAGAGGCTTTATACCAAATTCTACAAGTGCAATTTCTGGTATGCCTCCCTTCGAGTTATTATATAGGAGGAGGTGTCGGACCCCTATTTGTTGGGGATAGGTCGAGCAGCGTGTGATGGGCAACACAGAGATAGTGCTTCAGACGACTGAGCAGATTCAGCAGTTCAGACAAAGATTGCTGACAGCTCAGAGTCGTCAAAAGAGCTACGCGGATAGGCGTCACTCTGAGCTCGAGTTTTAAGTTGGTGACTTTGTACTCCTGAAGGTATCTCCTTGGAAAGGAGTGCTCCGATTCAGGAAGAGGGGAAAGTTAGGGCCCCGATATATTGGTCCATTCAGGGTGATCGCAAGAGTAGGAAGGGTAGCATATCGGTTGGAGCTACCTGCGGAGTTAGGTCATATTCATGACATCTTTCACGTATCACAGTTGAGGAAGTGTGTGGCCGATGAGTTGGCAATGGTACTATTAGAGGATATCCAGGTGGATACGAGCCTGAACTACATTAAGAGACCGGTTGCAATTATGGATCGGAAGATCAAGGTTCTGAGGAACAAGGAAGTCACCTGGTGCAGGTCCGGTGGCAACATCGGAGAAGGTCCGAGCTGACTTGGGAGCCGGAGCGAGAGATGCGTGAGCAACATCCAGAGTTGTTTGCGGAGAGAGACTTCGAGGACGAAATCTGATTCTAGTGGGGGAGAATTATAACATCCGGATTTCTAGGTATATTATTTTATTAATTTATTTTGAGTTTTTGGAGGAACTCGGCGAGTTGATGCTTAGACTCGCCGAGTAGGACCGCGGGTTCTTATCCGGATTAGAGACCGGACTTGACGAGTCGACTTGTAGACTCGGCGAGTCCACGCTGTTTAGTGAAACCCTAATTTCTCGGGTTTGGGATCTATTTAAAGGTTCTTATAGCATTCAGTTGCGGCTACCAGACCCCATAGAGAAACCCTAAGAGAGCTAGAACGTTTGTGAGGAAGGAGAGGCCATTTTTGATCCTTGTGTTGGTTCTCTTGCAAGAAGAAGGTGACCAAGGCAAGAGGGAGCTGAAGAAGGTGCTATTTTGTAGATTTCAGAGCCCATGGACTTCATATTTGAGGTATAGATTCGATCCTTCTTCAGTTTTGGTGTTAACCTTTGGAGTTAGGGTTTTCTAGACCCTTTAGAGGCTTGATTGGATGGGCATTTGGTCCCTTCTCGTATTAAGGCTTTGGATCTAGATCCAAAGAGGTCGAGAGACCATAACCCTTTGATCTTCATGATTGATATTAGGAGGCATGAGCTTAGGATGTCATATTTGAGGTTATTTCTCAAAATAGAGCCTTTGGGCCTTTGCATGAGCATCAAGATCTGAACTTTACGTAATTATCATGCTTGGGAAGGTCAGATCTAACATCAGGAGGTCATTTGATTTTGAGCATGGCATGAACTCGCTGAGTCCAGGAACAGACTCAATGAGTAGGATTAGTTTTCCCTATGAATCAAACACTTGGTGACTCGCTGAGTTGGAGAAATGACTCGGTGAGTCAAAGGGGATGTAGAGGACCTGAGTTCATAACTGAACTCACCGAGTCAAGAGCCTGACTCGACGAGTTGGGTCGGGTTGTCCCGCAATTCACAACCAGAGATGATTTCGAAGAGCGAAGGGTTGCCCCAGTGAGTCAAGTGAGGACCAGGGGTGAGGAGGACACTCATGGACTCGCCGAGTCACATTTGTGCACTCGACGAGTCTGGTCAAAGGTTTGACCACTGACTTCTGTTGACTTTTAGGGTTAGTCAACAATTAGAGAGGCAGAGGTTGGCATCTCTGTTTGAGACAGTAGCGGGAGAGGTGGTGGTCGGCGGAGGGAACTGGTTCGACGTTGCGTGGAAGGAGGAGGAGTCGTTTGTTGTTTGAGAGGAGGCAAATAAAATGAAGAAATAGTTGAAGATAAGGTGGCGAGGAAGATGAAGAGGCGGTGACTGTGGTTAGGAAGTAACCCGATGAATAGTACCCTAGTCAGGTACTGTTGCTATGGGAAATCAAAACTAATATTAGTATAAATGTGTAAAGTACACTCCAAAATACGAATAACTTATTCGAAATATGAAAAACAAGTCTAGAATATATTTTCAGAATATGAGAAACAAGTATTGAATGTAGATCCAAAATACGAAGGTCATATTTATAATGATTTTTTTGGAACTATATCATTGTTTTTTAATAGAACTTCCTTAATGATGGTTTCAGGTCCGCTTTTGCACACCGACTAATCATTCATTGCAAACATGACGTTATGTCTCATGCTATGGAGTCATTATAGACAAACCTTCATGGCCACAGAGACGGAGTGGTACCAGGATTTGAACATGGGTCAATAGGTTGTCATCTGTATCTTTCACATGCCTTATCAAGTCACTATATATGAACCATATCTTTGTTTTTAAAGAACTATATGTAAGTAATACACGTTGGGGTTATACAAATGAGGTATTGTTAATAGGAATGCAATAGAAACGTTGAAAGAGCAATTGTTAGAAATGCAAATTTATTACAACCTTTAGAAGCTAATAATCATAGAAGTTTAGCGTTTTATAATACTAGAATATTTGGAATACAATGCCTAAAGATATACAAAAGTTTCTCAATTTCATGGAAAGAATCCAAGAAGTGCCTAGGACAATGCAACACATGAGAAACAAGTTGAAACAATCGATATTGTGTTCCGCTTAATTGAAAGTTACATGTAATTGGAGTTCACATAGACATTGTTTATTGCATCGCATGCAATGTAACACCCGTAAATCGGGGTTGGAATTTTTCATGTAAATTGCTAATTTAAAATATTTTATTTTTGACATTAAATAATCAGGAAATGAGTTTAATAAATATTAAGGATGATTAAATATTTAAAAATAGTTCTTAAGGGTTAATAATTAAATTAGATAAATAAAAATGATTATATATTTATTAAAAATACTAAAGTATTAAAATATATTTTGAAAATGAATTTAAAGCAAAAATGAAGCATTTATATATATATATATATATATATATATATATATATATATATATATATAAGGAATTTAGGAACAATAGATTTAAAAATGAAAACATCATAAGAAGATTTAGATCATCGATAAGAATGCAAGAAGGTAAATAAGATCTTATTTGCATTAATGGGTAAGAGAACAATTCGTTACAAAGAATGCAAAATTATTCTCTCCAAAAGATACTCATTCTACAAACTAATGCTCCTATATATAGGCGTTAGAGAAGCACTTGAAAGGAATCTTAAGTCGACAATTCGCACTACAAACCTAAAAATACATAGCTCCGAATTAGGAACAACACATTTTGGAACAGGTAAAGACTTTATACATGATAAACAGATTGCGAGCAGACGCATACAATTTTGACACAGCATAAATTTCAAATTCTAACAATCTCCCCCTTTGTGTCAAGTTGTTTTTGTTGTAGTGTTTACCTTCTCTTTCTTAGCGACTTCAAAAACTTTAGGAATTAGTTTTCAACAAGGTCCTCCAAACAACTATCCACCAATTAATCATATCAGAAACGCATTTCACATATGCTACACTGTTTGACTTGTAGGCCTCAAATCTTTCAAGAGTTCGATTTAATGAAGCAATAGAGTACATATGCTTATCTCGCAAGAACAACATGCAATTTTTCACTATCTTATCCTCCTTTGTCTTGTATATCACTCCCCAACGATCTCTTTCAGTAAAACCAACATTAAAAATCCCAAAGTCGTCAGGTAGTAGAAAGGGATTCAAAATTGGCTTTCTTTTGAGAATAACAACAATATCCACATCCATCTTTGAGAATTCAAGAAGATATATGCTCATATAATCCTTCTCAATGGTTATAAATTGGTTCGTATTTCATAGTGTCCTTGGCAATAATATTGAGCAAAGTAATCCAGTCGTATGGATTCATAAAAGAATATATGCCAAGGTGAATTCATGGACTTCGTGATTATGGCCTCTAAAGGCTTTAAAATTGATCTTTGCAAAACCATCAACAACTGTAGGCTTTCTAACCTTTAGTCCTACAATCCTCTTCAAATTCCAGGATTCATACTATGGATTTGAGTATTTCACATAGAAGTTGAACATGTTACTGTTTGTGGAAGCATTTGTGAATGGTGCTTTCAAAATACTTTCAAATCATTAGAATTGAAATACTTTTGCACTAATCAGAAAGTCCAGCTGACACTCCAAGTCATTCGTAATAGAAAAAGAAGTTTGAGTCTCTAACCAATACAAATTTGGATTGTTAATAGCTTCTTCTTGAATTTGATCAACAATCCATTCTGGAAACATGACCTTCTTCGAAGCAAGAATTTCTTCAAAAAATTTATCTTCAGCATCGAACTTTGCTTTTAAAGCATTCAAAGCATCAAGCTCCTCATCACGCTTAGCTTGTTCCTTCAATTCTTTTTCAGATAAATTCGGATCAAGATCAACATCTTCTTCCGAATCAATATTGACTTTTCCTTTTCATGATCTGAAAGCTACATTACCCTTCCGTCGGGGCTTATTTTCTTTAAGGTTTTTCAACTTATCTTCCATAGTTTTGTTTTCCAGGACAATCTTTTCAGCATTTTTCTTCATAACCATTTTCCCAGTTTCGTAAGGATTATTCAGATTGACCTTTGTAACTTCATTTTCAGTCACTTATTCATCTCATCCTTGTTGTGTAGTAACCTTGCTACTCATAACATTCAAAATATCATTAGGTTTTGAGAGAACGAGGGTCAATTTCGCATCCATAAGCTGTGAAATGTAATCAGTATACAGTGCATCTTTTCTTTCAACAATTTGAATATGACGCTGATTGATTGCAAAAATTCGTCAGTTCTCTATTCATCTTCACAATCAATTAAGATATCGGAACCGAAACCATAAGTTATCAAATCACAAGGGTTTTAGTTCAAGAGTGTGCCAAAGAAAAAGAATTAAACAAATAAAATTATGAGGGATTTGCGATATCAAAAATATTTGATATGAAAGCAAAATGATCTTAGGCACAAATTCTCTTCCTTCATAGTCAAGAGAAACTAAGAAATGCTTGTGTGGTTTTCCGTTGAGTTATGATTGATAATTTTTTAAGAAGTTTCGAAAGGTATCTTTTCATAAATCAAATGAGCATGCTCATTTCGAATCGTAGATGCAACTTAAAATAAGTACAAAGATAAAAATAAAAAAAATAAAAAAAAAATAAAAAAACTTGAATGACCAGTGTAACCAAATCACGTAAGTAAAAAGCTTTGGCTTGGGAGTAGTAACACCGAGATAATAAAAAAAATGTTCAGACTAAAATCTCATACTGTAAAAAATAAACGTTGGATCTACTGGGAAGAAATGATTGGGAGTCAATCAATTTCATTAAGATCATGCAAAAGGAAATTATGAGATTTTGAACATAGATGAAATACCGTCAATTCATTGGTTAAAATCTAGAACAACCAGCTGTTCACCATCAATCCCTTAAATGGTAATGCTCTTTGAGTCTCACTTTCCATCATGGTGATAACAACGAAAAGATCTTAAACACATATTTTTTGCACACCTACATTCTAGTTGTTTTTTACTAGATATGTCTTGGGATGTGCATCATTATGTGCGCCGAATCTAGGAAGTATAAGATAAGAAGAGGGGAAATTAGTTTTTCACATTCTCATGGTGATAACGAGAACTACATAAAAACAGATTTTGAGAAACCATAACTCCGAGATGGTACAATCTCGAAAGATCAAAGGTTACTCAAAAATTATTATTGAGTAAACCTTCAAATCATTAAGGCTAAGAAAAGGAAATCTATGTTTTGGTTTGTATACACCTAATACATCATCGTGTACTCAAGTTGACCGTAAATGGGTCTTAGACCAAGTATGCGCAGCGTACTCAGAAGTCAGAAGTACGCTCGATGTACTGGTCAAAGTCTCAAACTTTATCCAAAGGTTTTAATCCCTTAAGATCTTAATGTCAAAACCTCAAATCTACATCTAAATAAGGCCTTAATCCATAAATTTGGCAAATTTACTTAATTGCATGTCTTAATGTGACCCAACACTAAACCCTAGGTCCAAAACTTCATAAAAAAGGCCAAAAACTCAAACATGGGCGAACTTTATGTACGCTCGGATCTTGAGGTACTTCATTTGCAATTAAAACTATCATTTTGAGATTACCACAACGTGGATGAGGCACCACCATGATGTGGTAAGGCAAAATGGGTCGCGTGTTCATCCCTGACACCACAGCGTGGCAGCATTGGCGATAACGTGGTGGCGGCTAGCATGCAAGCCTTATATCTCCGGGTTGATGGGTTTTGTGCAAAAGAACATCCTATGTGCACATGCAAAACCCTAAAGCTTTGGATCTAGGTTTCTCTATTGTACATGAAAATTTATCCAAAGCTTGAAACCCTAATCTAGCATACTATTAAAATGAGATCTACAATAACTAAAAGTTTAGATGATACCTTTCAATAGTTGCAAGAATCTTCGATCTTCAAAAGCTTAGTGTCACAAGTGTAACACCTCTAATGGCTTACAAACACCAAAGCAAGAAGATGATCTAGAAGAGAGAAGGAGAGAGGCACAATTTCGGCTATAGTAACTCTAGGGTTTCTTGGTGTAGCTAAAACTGAAGCCCCGGGGTCCCTTAAATAGCTGAGTTGCTAGGTTTCAGTCAAAATCTAGTTAGATGACTTAGGCCCTAAGCAGCTTAAGAACCTTATGGAAGAAGGCCCCTTGGACAAAATTATAGTGGGTTTACACTCTAATTTTCGTCCCCCCTTATATCCATAAGGATTCACAACCCAAACTCAATTATCTTATAACTGACAGTTCCGGTCTCCCTTATTTAATTAATCTCTTTTAGCCATAAAATTAATTCTTAACTAATTCTTGACCAATATTAATTAAACTATATGATTTCTCTTTTAATATATTATTCATATAATATATTAATAAACCATAATAACCTCTCTCTCTCTCTCTCTCTCTATATATATATATATATATATATATATATATATATATATATATATATATATATATAAATCATCCTATCCAGTTGCTTTGATGAAGACAACCCAAAAGGACCATGCACTACCGGGTCAAGTACATACTACATATAGTTATGGGTTTAGACACTAATCCAACACGGGTTTTGCTCCCTATTTAAAGGAATGATGTAACATCCCAATATTAAGGTACTTCTAATTTTGGACTGTATAATTTTATTATGTTGCATTTTGGTCCCTAATTTAAGAAAGAGTGGAAAAAGGCCTAAAGTGGCATTTTTTATGAAAGTTGGGATGGGATGAGTACGTCGTGCGTACATGTGTGTACGTGGGATGCATGCAAAGCCTAATTTTGGGGCTCTGGCTCATATTTAAGCAAAATTATGGACTCATATCCTCTTCTTACCCAACCTTTATCTGTGATATCGATCCTTAAGCAAACTTAGAGCAAGAAAGAGAAAATTTTGAGCCTTTAAGAGAGTTTTGGAGTGGTTTTGAAGAGAGAAGAAGGTGGTGAGACGACCTTGGAGTTTAGAGCACTTTGGATCTGGGATTTCTTCTTGGTTTGCAACATCTTGAAGGTATAAAGCTTGCATCTTTTCCACTCCATCTTGTATATATATATATATATATATATATATATATATATATATATGTTTTTGCTCTTTTAAGTTACTTTTTGGTCCCAAAATGATGATTCATGAATATAGCATGTTCTTGACTCTTTAACTTGTCCTTTCAAATTCTTGGAAGGGTCTTGAGTCATAAAAATGGGTTAGAAATGGTTGGTTTGCTGCACGCATCATTTAGAAGGTCTTAATGGATTAAGTAATTGTGTTAAGCACTTAATGAACATGCAAAGTCATAAAGTTGGAAACTTTTTGACTATTGAGGGTATTTTAGCCATGGATCTGAAAAATAGACATGAATGCTTAAGCCATTAAGCACTTATTGAGTTTTGGAACTTCTGGGAGTACGCTCCGCGTACTTGGAGTATGCGCAGCGTACAAGGTCAACCACCCCGATGGTGGTCAGCATGCGAGTATGAACAATGTAACTAGGGAGTACGCCCCACGTACTCACTATGAGTTGACTCGGCTGATTTGACCAGTTTGACTTTGACTTTGACCAAGTTTGACTTAAAGGTGTTTTGGGATTTTGATTGAGATTAGTCATTTGGTTGGAATAGGAGACGATTAGAGTTAAGATTCAGAGTCGAGACCTCATCAACTTTTTTCCGGTTTGTGAGGTGATTTTTCCTCACCGTACTTACAAGTTGAAGGCACCAAGGTCGGACCATTGGTTTGATATCCTGCTATTCAGTGATATGCTGAGTATGGAATAAATATGTATGATTATGCTAGTTGTTGATACGCTAGTTTGGTAGATCTGTAGGACTACCTGTGATTCTTTCTGTATAATTATCTGTATATGTTTGTTATCTGTTATATGTTGACATATTGTGGTGGGTTAAGGTTTTACTGCTTTGTGCGGTAGCCAACACACCCTGGAGCATTCCAGATATGATCTGAGGGCCGGGTAGGGCATGCCAGACTCATACTGAGGGGCCATAAGCATTCCAGATATGAGCTGAGGATCGGATGGTATGCCAGACTCGTACTGAGGGCTCGATGGTACTTTGGTTCGATGACTGATTTGGCCAGGGAGCAAGCCATACATAAGTTATGGGCCTAAGGGCAAGCCATACTTATGTTGTGGTCTCATGGGTAATCCAAGCTATGGAAGCAATACATGTTGTTATTATATATGTTATATGTTGATGTGTTGGTACTTTGGGGGAACTCACTAAGTGTTGGCTTACAATTTTAGGTTATGTTTCAGGTACTTTGGATGACCGCAGGAAGGCGAAGGCATAACCATACACATCCTCTTGTTTATGACTTATTATTTTGGGAGACTCTGATGTTAGGAAAATGTTTTGAAAGCTATGATTTAGAAGCAATTTATGAATTGGGTTGATTTTAAAAGTTTAAATTTCTTGTGATTTCTATGGGTGTCACAAATGAGGAGGTTAGGGTTTGCTCATCCTTAGCCTCCATGAGTTCCATCAAGTCCCAAAGAAACCCTAATCACTTTGTTTTATTATTGAGCTAGTTTTGGTGTCCTTGAAGCTAAAGAAGGAAGAATGAGGAAGAAGGAATAATAGATCAGGAAAGCAAGTCTCCATTCTTTACCTTAGCACTCTTCTAGACCTTTTTAAGTGTCCAAGACTCGATTTTTATCATGTTACATTGCAAGATCTTGAGTTTTGTCCCATTAACTTCTTGTTCTTGCTTGTTGGGGTGATGAGATCTCATAAAGTTTGCAACTTTATGAATCTCTGGGATATTTGGTATAATTTGTGCCTTGGATCTGGAGTTTGGTTGGATTTTCAAGCCATGAAGAAATTTTGGTCATAAATCCTCACTTTGATCTAATAAGGGTTCAAGACATTCATTGGGCATGCATGTCTATAAAACACTACCTTTTAGGTTAGTTTTGGTGCTAAAATCACTTATGGAAAGGATGGGCTTTGGAATTTATGAATTAAATGATTATTGTTTAAGTCTTGTATTATTAAGCCTTT